CCGTCAGTTCTCCTCCAGATTTCATCCCCATCATAGGGGGAGCCAGTAGGGGAGGGGGATGGATCCTCCCTGCGTTCACGCCCACCACCAACAACCTTCCTAGCAGACATGATGCTGACTCTGCTGACACCAAAGTCCTTCTTTATTTCTTTTTTCTTTTTATTTATTCTTTTTTTGGGCGGGTGGTAAACAGCAGCTAGGTTAATACCCCGATCACAGAAATGTGTTTATGGAGAGCGGGTGCCTACGGGCGCATTGCTGCCCCCCTCAGGTCACTGGCTTGTGCATCATTTCATGAGCATTATGCTGCCGTGCGTTATGCAGCAGTTAGGCTGACGTTGGACAGAAGTTCTGGACTCGTTATGAATACTCTACATATACGCCCAAAAATGAAAAAAATACATAGAAAGTTTAGTGTATGCCAGCATTTTAGGAGATTCTGGGACGTCAGGCAGACGCTGGATAAATCAGGAAGGTGAGACAGGACCCTAAGGCTAGAGACTTAAAGATATATACTTCTCTAGAAGTTAGCAAAACTAGTGAATGTTGAAAATGCAACTATAACAACGGTTTGATGAAATAGTTTGAAGCATGTATGAAAGATGAGTGAAAAGTATTTTGAATGAAGGCTTCTGGTCTGCATTCAAACCAAATATAGCAACACAAAATGTTGCTATATTTGGTTGAAGATGCTCAGACACTTACCTTAAAGGGGCGGGGCAGATCAGGCTTGGTAAATCGGAGGTAGATTAAACCCAGAACCACCACTCCAATAAACAGCCACCGCAGAAAACTCATGAAGTTCAGCAGGCTGTAAATGTCCCCGACAAAGAGCTGGAGCAGGGTCATTGGATACTGCAAAGACATAAACTCACTTCACTATACTTTATAAACTGGAGATGACATATGGCAACACAGTAATATTGTCTGTTGAATAAAAAGAACCCTGGAAGCGACGGACCAGTATGAGGACAGCAGCCAGTGGAGTGTGTCTGCGGACATGGATCATAGACAGGACCTCAGGGAGATGGCCCTCACGTGACGCTACATAGAACATTCTGGAGGATGCATGGAACACAGATAAACATGAGATAATGGAAACTACTGGACAATATAATAACAGTGCAGAAAAAGCAATAGTACCTCAACCAGGAGATAATACATATGGCTGTGCATCCTAGTCCGGGATGCCCAGTGTCTTACATTTTTAAATCTTCTCTGCTTGAACACACTTGACTTAAATGCAGTATTAACAGGCTCCTGCATAAAGGCCTAGTAGATCATTTAATTATTATTTCTATCAGGTATTAGAAGAAGGAATCCATCCGAGCCCTTGATTACATCAGTCTGGTAGATCCATGGTTTGTCAGCAGAAAACCCTGATTGTCAGCTAAATACTCTTCTACAGTGGTAGCCAAATAAAAATGTCCACACTTTCCTTGATGGGTCCTTGGCTGGTCCCCTTTAATTCCTTTTAAAACATCAATCTTTGTACTAAAATATTCTTTCTGTCATGATTTGTGGACACTAAGATAAAGAGAAGCCTCATCTCCTAGACAGAGTGCAAAATATATGCAAGAGGGGGTCACTCCAGGGGTCGGAAGTTGTCTGTCATTAGGCTGGTGTTTCACTGGAAAGGGCCATTTTGAATGGCTGATACTGTATGATTGAGTAGTATTTTCAAGACGTGGACTTAGATGTTGGGCAGGCTACATTCAGGATGGGTTGCCAGTCAACCACAGGGCAGCATGGAGACCCACAGGACAAACAACCATGATCACCTACATACCCAAGGGTGACCCAGAGAGACCATTAAATCTAACGTCATATTTTTAAGACTGTCTGAGGAAGCTAGAGGACCTGAAAGTAGCATGATGACTCCATTCAGAGAGGAATCAAATCCAAGACCTGCATGGAACAAGGCAACAATGCTACAAACTGCCAATCCCTGCAGGCCTTCTCTTAAACATCTTAAATTAAATTATTTAGTTCTGCTCTAAATCTTCAGGCTAAATTGAAATATAAACGTCCAATTTATGTTATTTAAATTAATTTAAAAAAAATGTTTTCATTACAGCAAAAAGCATATTTTGATATAAACAAAATCCACTCATTAGATTACTTTCACCATTGGGAGAATATCTGGTCTGCAATGTTAACACAACTTGACCTACGTTCAGTAATCATATGAATGAGGTTACAGCCAGACTGATGGGTAGTGAACTTCATAAGTTGTGCTCATGCCATTTGCTTATCATGTCTTTTTTAGCACATATTGAAATTGTCTTCACGAATGAGGGGAAGATGGAGCGGGAGATCGACAGGCGGATTGTGTGCACTGTACCGCTCTGTAGTGGTGAAGAGAGACCGGAGACAAAAGGCAAAGCTCCCAATTTACCAGTTGATCTACGTTCCTACCCTCATCTATGGTCATGAGCTTTGGGTCATGACCGAAAAAATGAGATCCCAGATACAAGCGGCTGAAATTAGTTTTCCCCGTAGTGTGTCTGGGCTCTCCCTTAGAGAAAGGGTGAGGAGCTCAGTCATTAGGGGAGGACTCAGAGTAGAGCCACTGCTCCTCCACATCAAGAGGAGCCAGTTGAGGTGGCTCAGGCATCTGATTAGGATGCCTCGTGCACGTCTCCCTGCTGAGGTGTTCCAGACACGTCCCATTGGGAGGAGGCCAAGGACACGCTGGAGGGACTATGTTTCTCTTCTCTGCTGGCCTGGGAGCGCCTTGGAATTCCCCAGTAGGAGCTGGCCCAAGTGGCTGGAGAGAGGGACGTCTGGGCCTCCCTACTGAAGCTGCTACCCCCGTGAACCGATCCCAGATAAACGGAAGAAGATGGATGGATGGATGGATGGATGGATGGATGGATGGATGGATGGATGGATGGATGGATGGATGGATGGATGGATGGATGGATGGATGGATGGA